CAGGGGTCTATGTGGGTGGGTAAGTGGATGGATAAGATGGTGCACTGAGCATGGGAGGTAGGTGATAGGACAGAACCTCATTCCCAAGAGGGCGGTCATTCTTATGAAGGCCATAATGGGTACTGGCACCCTAACACAAGCATGACTCAGAAGATATAACTTCTCTCTCCACCAGCACCTGTCAGGGGTCTCCCTCCTCTTCTCAGAAATTCTCATTCTCAGACCCAAAGGCCCATTCTATGTGCTAGACCCACTGGGTGTCTGCAGAACTGGCAACCACCACTCCACAGAGATGACCCTATAGTCTGGGGACACAGTGAATTGCTTATAGCCTTCCATCTTTCATTAAGGCTTTGAAATTAAAAGGCTACAAAGCTACTGTCCAGCGCAGAACTCTCAAGTCCCTGGACCTGATCTTCGAGTGTTACTTGAAGTGTTCCCAGACCACTGATTTCAGAATCGGGCATTCCCTTCAAAAGGAGATTCCCAGCCCAACCCCACCTTCTTGAATCTGAACTTCTGGACGGGGCCTACAAACTTGGATTTTAACCAACTACCCAGGTGATCCTGATGTACAGTCTGAGGCCCAATGCCATGGGCTTCCCACCCACCCCCACCTTTTCCTTCCTGTTCTCCCTGCCCTGGAGAGCAAAGCCACCCGCTTCTCCACACTGGAGTCACGTAGACAATGTTCTCCGAGTTACTTCCTGCTCAGTGCTCACCAGCAAACAGTGAGACCACAATGCCTAACATACCAAGATCTCAGGGACCTTGCAAATGTCACATCAACTTCATGGCACACAGTGTGAAATTTCCACCCAGGGCCGCAAAGAGGAAGTTCAGACAAACTCCGAGGCTCTGAAGGGTGAGCCACTTAGCCTTAGTAACCAGGAAACTTAAGAAGATTTGTTGTTTTAAATATATTTTTATTGAATTCAGAGAGGAAAGGAGAGGAAGAGAGATAGAAACATCAATGATGAGAGAGAACCATTGATTGGCTGCCTCCTGCACGTTCCCTACTAGGGATCGAGCCTGCAACCGGGCATGTGCCCTTGACCAGAATCAAACCCAGTACCCTTGGGTCCACAGACCAACACTCTACCCACTGAGCCAAACCGGCTAGGGCAAGAGGGTTTGTTTTCATTTCAAGAAGAAATATCAAAACACAAGTTCTTTTCCACATGTAGTGGAGAAGTGAACAAAATGGACTAGGCCCTCCTGCAAGTACCTTAATGAACTCCTGCACGGGGTCAAATGAGATTGAACGGTAAAAGGCTCTGTAAAACCTAGAGTGCATCATAACTACAAGGGCTCAGAACACCACTCTAGGCTAATCCAAAAAAACCAAGAATCCAATAGTGTCCAGTTTGACTGTGGCTTCTTTTCTACAGCAGTAGCCCTCCACATTTTTTTTCTGCCTCAAAATGCTCAAGAGATGGAAAGGCAATGAGTTTTGTTTTGTTTTTAAGAACACAAAAAGCACTAACTATAACAAAAAATATGGATAAATTGGACTTCACCAAAATGAAGAACTTCCATTCATCAAAAGATACCATTAAGAGAGTGAAAAGACTAACTACAGAGTAAGGCAAAATATTTGTAATTTATATCTCCAATAAGGCTCATATTATCCAGAATATTTAAAGAATGCCAACAAATAAATAAAAACTGAACAACCCAATTAACAAAATACATAAAAGACTTGAATAGGCCATAAAGGAGGACAAACAAATGGCCAAGGAGCACAAGAAATTGGGATCAACATGATGACTCATCAGGGAAATGCAATGAAAACCACAATGAAATATAACAAACTCCCTCCTGAATGGAACTTATTCAAAGACCATCAATACCAACTCCTGACAAGAACGTAGAGCCACTGGAATTCTCATACATGCTGGTAGGAGAGTAAATTGATAAAACCAAACAAAAGTAAACATGCACCCACTCTATGACCTAACAATTCTACCTCTAGATATATACCCAAGTGAAATGTGTGCATATGTCCACCAAAAGACACATTCAAGAATGCTCACAGTTTTATGCATCATGGCCAAAATTTGCAACAGCAAAAAACTTAATATCCATCAATAAGAGAATAAATTGTTGTATATTTAAACAATGGAATATCACACAACAATAAAATAGAATCAAATACTGCTACACACAACAACAAGAATGAATCTCATAGACATAATAATGAGGGAAAGAAGCTGGACACAAAAGACTATAAAGGGCATGATTCCATTTCTATGATGTTCAAACACTGACAGACATCAGAACAGTAATTTCATCTTGGGGAAGGGATATGGGCAATGAATGGGGTGTGAACACAAGGATACCTGCTGGGCAATAGAAACTCGATCTGGATGTTACACAGGCAGAAGGGGTTG